CTAGAGAATAGCTATTGCCAAAGTACAGAGGTAGAGACTTCATTTTGTTCCGTAATGGGTTGTGATTTGCAGATAAATTGCCTCCTTTACGAAATTTGAGTTTCAGGGCTGTCAGTGTTCATCTGTACCGTTCGTTCCAAGATGGCTCTGTGCCATTTTAGGAATTTGAAATGTGTGTAATTTGAAATGGTTAAATAAAATTCGAATTTAATTTTATAAAATACACTGGTGACATTTGGATTTTTTAAAAGGATATAAATCTACACTGCTTTTGTAGATTGAAGAATGGAATTGTCTGAAAACAGGCTATTTGATGCTTATGTCACTAGGATCTGTAAATCTGTGTAAGTACAAGAACAACCACCTCCTTCCTATTGAATTACCTGAAAACTAGAATTAAATTTGTTGTTCCTAAAGGATTTTATTCTTTGTTATCCATGGAAATTTCTTTTTTAATCTTTGTGTTTGTTTGTTTGGTACAGGGTCTCGCTACGCAGTTTGGACTCGTAGTGATCCTCCTGTCTCAGCCTCCCCAGTGCTGGGATTATCACAGGCATTCACAACCATGCTTGGTTTCGGTGGCCATCATGGCATATGGTACTGGGGATCAAACCCAGGTCCTTGTGCTTGCCGGGCAGGCGCTCAGACTGACTGCTGAGCTATCTCCCTAGCCCCTCAGACATTTTTGAGGCACATCACTTTCTTTGCCTTTGCCAGTTTTAGTTTCCCCTGGTCCTATTTCCTAACTTAGCAAGATATTGTCTCATTTTTTTCTTCTTTTAGAAATGGCAAAGTCTCCATATATTTTTTTTTAATAACTAATTTAGGACTTTATGGTTATTCACCTATCATTAGGTGAGCACAGAATAACAGGTCCACGCATTTCCTAGTTTAAAATAGATACAGTTGCATCTGTAATTTCTTATTTTTTTAATCTAGTTCACTGAATGAGTACTGCTATTTTTACATGTAAAAATAGCTTCATTACTTGGAATTGGTGAGTTGGTCCTTAAGAAAAATGGGATTCTACCTCTTATTTCCTTTTGAGCTTTTTTAACCACAAATATGAAAAGGAGGTACTTACTAGCTTTGATAAAAACATTTCCACTACTCTATGACTAGGTCAGTGCTAGTGATTGATGTATGATAGTGCCCCTAACGTAACTAAATTAACAGTGTTGCTGCTTGTAAGAGGATGAATTTGTGGGTTTATCTCAGTTGCAGGCTGTTGGTATTACTAAAGACAAAAAGTTTTGAGTTTGTGAAAACTTCTCATGCCATACAGAACTATGAAGCTAATATTAAAATACTTTGTGAATGCTGTGATTTGAGGGCTTGGTTTAAAATTTTAAGTACATTTTTATGGGTTAGTCTTAAATTTTAGCCTTTATATTTCTCTTTAAATCAGGCCAGTTATTTTAAATGTACAAGACAGTTTAGAAGTGTATGTTCTTTATAGGAACTTTAGAAAAGAGAAGTATATATACACACTAATTCACTTTTTAAGAAGTCTTCTGCCACTGTATTTATACTTAGTAATAATGAGCTCACTTTTGTTCTGAAAGTTTATAATTTAGGTAATTGCCATTTAAAATACTAAGTTTAATACCTGAAAAGTAAATGTAAACAATGATAAGATGCTAACTGATGATAACCAAATAGATATACTGGTGTTTTTTGTATACTGGTCTAAAAACCTACGTATTAAAGTATAACCTTGATAAAAGACAAGTTCTTGGACTGAGTAAGGTTCACTTAACATTTAACGTGACTTTGGAGAAATAGAAACATCTTTGCTGCATGAAGTTATTTTCCTCAAGGTTAAGTGGCCATCCATATTGATGTATGGTAAAACCTTGGTTTGCAAGCCGAATTGTTCTGGAAACATATTTGTAATCCAAAGTGAGTCTGCCCATAAGA